TTCACAATTCTCACTTTCTTGCTCAGTCCATCAAAAACTGAATGGGAAATGTAAGCTCCATCAAAACTGAATGGTTGCAGACTTCAAGTTTGATTTTTTCTTTGTTTGAGCTAATGGATTGAAAATTTCCCATGTTTGGTTGCATGCATCAGGTTGTGGAATTGAAGGTAGGTTTGCATTGCGAGGAATGCATCAAGAAAATCTTGAAGGCCATCAAGAAGATTGAAGGTAATTCTAATTTATACCTCTGAAACCTATTGAATCCATTTTTGTGATTTGCTAACACAATATTTTGGTTCGTTTCTTTTTTCCCCTACTAGCAGATATTGAAACATATAATGTGGACGCACAACTGAACAAGGTCACAGTGACTGGAAACGTTACAACAGAACAAGTCGTTAGGGTTCTTCAAAAGATTGGAAAGATGGCAACCACTTGGGAAGAAGAAGGACAAGGAGAGGGAGAGGGAGTAAATTCTTGAACAACAACAATAATCATAAAATCTTGCTGTAATTTCTATCTTATTAGGGTTTTGATCTTTTGAGGGGATTCACATCGCCTTCAATTTTGCATTTTAATCTCTGCTACAATAAATAAAATGGTTCCTCCCAAATTGAATTAGATGATGAACAAAATCAAATCTCAAATCAGATTCATTAGTTTATTGATCAAAGAAAGCAAGTAAAAAAGTTGGCACACACCAACAGAGTACATGAACAACATGAACAGAAGACTGAAAACTAAAAATAAAATAAAAATAAACATGCTTGCTTCTTATGTACAAAGACTACATAATCAATCAAACTCTGTGAGGCTGAGACAGCGACTCGGTCTACCTCGGCTGCTGAATCGCCCGCGGACTCACTTTCATCACGTTCACAATCTTAGGAGCCTTTTCGATGAACCTGGGAGCCTCAGCCAAAGGCCGACCCTTTCGCCATTTCAAGAGTCCCATGGAAACCAGCTCCTTGTGAAAATCCTTCTCCTCTTCCTCCTCCTCCTCTGCTACAAGAAACGAGACAGAACAGAGTTAGATCGGGAACTCTGGCGAGTTGACTCAGAGCAGAAGAGTAGATTTTAGTGTTACTTACGCTGAACCTGTGTGTTGTCGTTGGGGTAGTGAACGTCGTCGAAGAGAGCATCGACGTCGTCGGGGAGGGCAGGATCATTAATATCGGGAAAGAAGGGGTCATTTTGGGGATCTTGGAAGCGCTCCTGGAGCCAGTAGTCTTGGAACCAAGGGGAGGACTGGACTAGGGCCCACCACTCGGTGGAGAAGTCCTCCACCGTCCGATACGCCAACGGCACGAACATCGGAGCGTTCGGATTCAAAGTAGACGATGTCGTCGTCGTCGTCCTCCTGGAAATCACGTCCATCGCCAGTTCGCTGTTTTGCTGCTGCTGCTGATGCGGCTGCTGTGGTGAATCTGAAAACGACGTAGCTCAACAATCAAAATACGAACGAACAAACAAACAAAAACTCGCAACATTATTTAGAGAAGAGAGGGAGAGGAGAGAGAGAGAGAGAGAGAAACCCTAAAGAAACTGGAGCGTCGAAGGTGATGATGATGAATGGGCGGATGAGGATAAGAGTAAAAAATATCCGTAATCTTTACGTTGCGACTCTCAGACTATAAATAGGCAAATTAAGAAGGAAATCAGACATAATTAATTAATTTATTTATTTATTTATTGAAAGGGGTCAAAAAGTGTGGTCGGTGGGTCACTGAGTGAGTTGGGGTAAAATGACGACAAAAATGAGAAATTGGGCCCACTCTAAATTTTTTCTCGAGTTTTCCAAAGTACAAAACTGGTAGATTTTGCCCACAGGCCCAACGTTTTCTTTTTATTTATTTATTTATTTGCGAGGTTCGGGTGCAGTGGATCTGACAGAGGGCCCACCGTACTGGTTTATTGTATTTCTAGGCCACGCCAAAGTGGGACCGGCCAAAAGCCGCTTCAGTCTTATCCACTTATCAACATACACGATACTTTACACGTATACTACACGACAATACCATTATGGCAGAGAATTATATCGTCTAAATTATTTTGGATTAATCTAATTTACTATTTCTGACCCCAAAAAAATCTAATGTCCTATTACAAAGAAGGGAATTCGGACTTGAAGGGAGAAGACACACTATCTTAGAGCATTTTCACCTATTTATAATGACAAAAGATAAGGGGAGATAATTGTTGTTACTATTCACATGATACATGAGAAGAGGAATTTGTATATAATTTTGGTGTAGGATATAAAGAATATGGCTAGGTATTTATAATAATAAAAATTCTGAAATTTTTTGTTTTTGTTTTTCCATTTTTTTCAATTTGTTTGTTATTTAAATTGGTAGCTCTCGTCATAATGACGTCAACATTAGGTCAGGTTGCTACGCAAGTCTTACTTTTGGGCTTGTCCAGGTTGGTGGAGCCTAGCTCTTGTCCTGACAAGACTTGGGCGCTGGAAACTGGACTGGGGGCCTAGGGGACTCTTGCCAAGACTAGAGCCTCCTGGTAGAAGTCCTTTTAATCAACTGAACTAATTCATAATTGCACCAATACCACGCGAGGGAAAAATTGTGTTAAGGTGTGACCTTGATTCAAATTGGGTCATCATAAATAACACATAGCAACACATTTTAATTGAGATGAACCATAACCTTAATTTTGGGTTAAAGTGACACTTTAGAATAATCTCTAATTTGTGTCATTTGTGAAATTTTCTCTTATTACCGAATTTTACAACCAAAAAAAAAAAAAAATCTCAAATTTTGGTTGGTATAAATGATGGGGGGCGGATATAATTTATCAAAAATAAATGAAGTTATTTTCGAACAAATAAATAATACATAGCCTTACTCATAAATATATACGGTGGAAAACTAACTAGCTTTGGTTTTATTTGGTTCGGTAGGACACAAAAATACAAATAAAAAGTCGACTCTGCTGGGGATCGAACCCAGAATCTCTGGTTCCGTAGACCAGCGCCTTATCCATTGGGCCACAGAGTCGCTTGTTGATTCTTCTGTTGTCATTAATAAACACATTCGTTTCTTGTAATTAACGAGCAAGACACACTAACGTTTGGGCTTTGGGGGAAGACATGGAATGGAAGCCGTATAAATTATGGCACAGTTTGATCATCGGGCACCTCGCTAAACAACCTTAAATTTCTTCTTGAGATTCATTAGTCCCAAGCACCTCGCTTTGTCGAAAATTCGCAACATCACACGGTCGATGACTAAAATGATGATAGAGCTTAACACATAATATATAAACTCATGCGTGACAAGGATTGATATGCATGTTTGATACACAAATATAGCTCAGTTGCCGCAAATTTCTCAAGGCTCGAATTTAGATAATTCTATTTTGCAGGATATGTGAAGTCCATTTGTTGTATGAATGCCCGTCAATAATATAAATTCCAAGATATCAGCTTCACCTCCCATTTCTCTCTGAGTGTGTGTGCATGTGTATGGTAGCTGTTGCCTTCTTTCTTCCTCCTTCTTTCTTTCTTTCTTGTTCTTGTTCTTCCTGCAAGCAAAGTTCGATCAAGATGAGCATGGAAATAAATCACTTGATTGGAGAAATCCAACAGGCAGTAGATAATGTGACTCTGGTTTGCCAAGATCCCCACAGCAGCATAGCTTCCGGGGGTGTGTGGCGCCACAGAAGCCCTCTGCGTTCCGCTACATCTCTTCTTTTGATGCAGTTGTCTGTAATTGGAGTAGTTTCACAGTTGATCAATCTCTGTCTCAAACCTATGGGACAGTCCACTATCGTTTCTCAAATTTTTGTAAGGTTTCAATCTCTATATTGACAAAACTTATACGTAGTTTTTTTGCATAATTTCTATATATGTGAGAATTCACCATGTCGGATTGTTTAGCTTTCTGCATTAAAGGGTATATAAACAAAGTAAATACTCGTTAAAATGAAGAATCGAACAACCTAGTTGAACAAAAAAAGATAAGAAGAAAAGTTTGATATGATTATCCTATACATATATGAATTTGAAAATCAATGTGTAGCATTTAGTAAGGAAAAGGATCATTACCTAGCTAGCTATATCCTTCTCATTGTGCATGTATCTAACAAATGAAAATTATGTGTGGTTGTCAGGGTGGTATAATTTTCGGCCCGTCAGTTCTGGGGCATAAAAAGGAAGTCTCACGCATCCTCTTCCCCGTAAAAGGCGCCAATGTGTTCGAAACTACTGCAACATTCGGCCTCATGTTCTTCCTTTTTTCAATAGGAGTGAAGATGAACACGGGAAGAATGTTAAGTCCAGATAGAAGGGCGGTGACCATTGGAATTTCAGTGTTCTTCTTCACCTTAGCGCTCCCTGAATGCCTAGTCTTCGTTATGATGAACTATCTCACCATGGACGAAACCCTTAAGATGGCACTCCCATGTATAGCTGGATCACAGTGTATATCAAGTTCCCTTGTTGTTGCTTGTTTACTAGCTGAGCTCAAACTCATGAACACCGAACTGGGCCGCCTGGCCCTCTCTATAACAATGTTTTGTGATGTTCTCGGCATTGCCCTGGTCGCGATTGGTATGGCAATTTTGGATAATAGGACCAGGAATTTATTAATTCCAACGTTTGAACTACTATCAGCACTAGTATTTGTGCTTGGCATTGCGTATGTGCTCAGACCAATCATACTATGGATGCTAAACCGTATAGAGGAAGGGAAATCTGTCAAGGAGTCATATATTGTCACCATTTTCCTCTTTGTTCTTTTGTGTGGATTTATCAGTGAGCTTGTAAGCCAGCATTTCTTACTTGGACCCCTAGTGCTTGGCTATGCGGTGCCTGAAGGACCGCCGTTGGGAGCGGCTTTGGTGATGAAGGTGGAAATCATGGCTACAGGAATATTCTATCCAACTTACCTTGCCAATAGTGGGCTGAAAACGAACATCTTCAGGATTCATCCTCGGTCTGTGTGGATTGTGGGGGTGGTGGTTATCTTTTCTAGCCTGGTGAAGATAGGAGCTGTAATGTTGCCAGCCAGCTATTTCGATGTGCCTCTGCGCCAAGCTTTTGTGCTTGGCCTCATCCTCAACTCAAAAGGCATCACAGAGCTTGTCATGTTCAACCTGTTTAAGCAAAGCAAGGTCTGAGTCTCAATCACTTGAAACTCTCTCATTTACTTTTGAAGTTCTCAGCAGCACCTTCTCCATCCATCAGCCCTTACAGATTCTGTTGTGCATTTTTCTCTAACTACTTTGAGTGAGTACCAATGCTAATCTTGAATTATATGATGAATTTATTTTACAGGTTCTGACTGATCAAGAATTTGCGCTGGTCGTGATCTCAGTGGTGCTCATAACAGCAGTGGTAACACCCTTGATAAGATATCTTTATGATCCTTCAAAGCAATACGCAGTGACGAGAAGAAGTACAATCCAGCATTTGAAACGTGAGTCGGAGCTCCGAATCCTAGCATGCATCCACAACCAAGAGAACGTTCCCACATTCATAAACGTCCTGGAAGTATCAAATGCTACAGAACAGAACCCTGTTGCAGTCATAGCCCTCGTCCTCACTGAGCTTGTGGGGCGAACCAACCCTGTTCTTGTGTCACACCGTCCCCATGACACCTTAGACAACAGCTCGTCT